GTGTGTGTGTGTGTGTGTGTGTGTGTTTGTACATGTTTTTGCTTCAACGCTATAGCAGTGGTTCCAAAACTTCTCAGCTTTTGACCCACGCTTGTTTGTTTTTCACATCAAATAAACAAGAGCAAAGTAACATTTATTACGCTATGTTTGTCCATTTTAAATACACTAATCTTATTATTTTGTAAAAACAAAGGGAAAAAAGTTCTTAGTTGTTATTTTTTGTGTAATTTGACACCTCTAAGAGCACGCAATGGCATATAAGGGTGAAGCAGTTCAGACAAATAAGAATTAAGAGATATATATATGCTCTCATTCAGCTGCACCAGTTTAAAATTCTGTATACTTAACATTGTGCCATAGACTCCAACAACATTAATAACTGATCAATATGTTTTGTTTCCTGTCTCAGGACTCAGAGAGCCAGAGTAAAGTCGTTGGCCCAGAGCCTCAGTACCTGGATGAGTTCACGAGTCTGCTGGTGCCTGATGATACTCGAGTGATGGTGGACCTGCTGAAGCTGGCGGTGTCCTGTCGCTCTGGGGACAAAGGCAAGGAGGTTCTGTCYGCTGTGCTGTCTGGCATGGGTACAGCTTACCCACAGGTAACGTCTGGTTATCCTTCGCAGGGAGACGTGTCCCGGCCTGCGGCGTCGTCACCTTTCTCTTCTTTGTGTTTCTGTGCAGGTTGCCGACATGCTGTTGGAGTTATGTGTCACCGAACTGGAGGACGTTGCCACAGACTCGCAGAGCGGCCGGCTGTCCTCCCAACCAGTTGTTGTGGAGAGCAGCCATCCTTACACCGACGACACGTCTACCAGCGGCACCGTGAAGATCCCAGGTAAAAAAAACAAACCAAGCATTTGTTTCAGTGAGACTCAGACATGTGGAATAGACTGATCATTTGCAAACATGACACATATTTTAGAAAACACCTTGTCTTTTTCATTTTCCTGTAGGTGCTGAGGGTTTGAGGATAGAGTTCGATCGGCAGTGCTCAACTGAGAGGCGCCACGACCCRCTAACAATCATGGATGGAGCTAACAGGATCGTGTCTGTCCGATCAGGTGATGAGAGGGAGATGATATATGTCGTCGTCATGAAAATACYAAACGTAAAGAAGGCAAAAATATTAATGTTGCTTTCTTTATGTGTTTGAGGWCGAGAGTGGTCCGATTGGTCCAGTGAGTTAAGGATCCCAGGAGATGAACTCAAATGGAAGTTTACAAGTGATGGTTCAGTTAATGGTTGGGGCTGGCGTTTCACCGTTTACCCCATCATGCCTGCAGCTGGTGAGCTGTCTGACACACCCCAAAGTGTTCACACTAGTTTTATTGTTCTGGTCCATAAAAACACTGCCACGGTTTGTGATTTGTTTTGTTTTCCTGTAGGTCCCAAAGACTTGCTGTCTGATCGCTGCATTCTGTCCTGCCCCTCCATGGACCTGGTCACATGCCTCCTAGACTTCAGGCTCAACTTTGCCTCCAACAGGAGCATCGTGCCCCGCCTAGCTGCTTCTCTTGCTGCTTGTGCCCAGCTCAGTGCATTAGGTATCACATGATAATCTGAATTTTTCATAATTAATAACAGAATTGACTACAGCTTTTATCTCTAAGTATATTTGAGACATAAATTAGAGTTTGATGATATTTAAGGTMTTTTCTCAGTGAGATATTAATATTCTATAACGTTCAGCTGCTCGACACAGGATGTGGGCCCTGCAGAGGCTCCGCAAGCTGCTGACCACAGAGTACGGTCAGTCCATCAACATAAACAGGCTGCTGGGAGACAGCGAAGGAGATGCTCGCTCTATTGTGAGTAAAGAGTCCAGATTCCTGTTGGGATATAAGTTAAATATTATTGCCTGGTGTATGATCAGAATTTATAGAATCACTAACTGTGTCTAATGTGAACATCTGTGGTTGGTAGTTTGTTTAGATTTGCAGTGGTGCCTGAATTAGTTGTGGTAAAAATGTTTCATGTGTAGCTCATGAAATAGTTATTTCAGGGGTTCCCAATCTTTCCTATGTCAAAGCCACCAAACAGCATTAGCTTCTGGTCAGGGACCCCCCTCTGCAAATCACAGTGCTATATGTTAAGAAATATCAAACTTTTAGAATGTTTTTTTTCTCACTTTTATTCACCATTCATCATTTATTACATTTGTTTAGCATAAGAATTTTATTAACTAACATGTTTTAAATTGTATTAAATCGAACCTTCTGATTTTAGTTGGCCAGGAGTTCGTATGTTTTTTTATTAATTAATTTAAAAAAAAATTTTCAGCAGTGACCTCCGCAGCCAGTCTTCTGGTCAGGTCCTTCAGTCTTTTTCTTGTTAAAAACTTGTCCATTTCACGCTTGCTATGTTAACTTGAGGAGCAGAGCAGCTCAGTAAATTTGACTGTCAGCCAATCAGAAAGATGAGCATGGCAAACATTTCCATAAATTATGTTTTAAGATGATGATTGAAAAACAGATTCAGTTTTATGATAATTTAATTTAGCCTTTTTTCCCCTTCCTTTTCAGTTGCATTTATTGGGTCAATATTCAGTTAATTTAAAAAACAAAACAAATTTGCATGGGAAAAAAGAAATATAAATCAAATTAAACAAAAGGTAGCAGAAAGAAGAAAAAATCTTATATCTGCCCCTATTAAAAAAAACTATTAACAATAATAATAATTTAAAACAATAACAATGTTCAAGTAAAAAAAAAGACAAAAACTTCAGAATTTAAACAGCAGCTCTTATAAATACAAACAATACATTTTATTAGATTAAGATTTTTTATTTTAGGTTTTTTTTTCCTTATCTTCGCTCCAGCATTCTGAGGCCCCCCTGGTGGTCCCCACTTTGAAAAACACAATTATTTAACCCATTTAAGTAATTTTGCTCTGTTTGTATTAATTTTCTATCCTCCTTCAGTTGTTAATTTAGCCTATTATTAATATTTTATTTTTCAGTTTGTGTCTTGGGTAAATAAGATGGCCTTGTGCAGAGTTTGGTTTGTTTGCTTAAACAATTTACTTGTACAAAGTAAACATTTATACTGTTGTGMTGCTAGGCTGTGATTATTTGAAGCTATGAAAATGTGAAACTGAATAAACTCAGGAACAAATGATGCAGAGCCAGGCCGCAGTTTAGGAAAACCATGGCTGTATGTTTAACTTTGATGTATAATTTCTGTTCTTCCAGAGTTTCACAGGCAGCGCTCTGGCTGCTCTTGTAAAAGGACTTCCTGAGGCTCTGCAGAGGCAGTTTGAGTACGAGGACCCCATAGTCAGAGGAGGCAAGCAGCTGCTTCACAGTCCATTTTTCAAGGTAGAATGCACAAATGTTTGGTGTTTCATAGTTGTTTAAAGATGTGTTTAAACAGAGTCTAATGTTGAATTTGTTGTTCAGGTCTTGGTTGCTCTAGCTTGTGACCTTGAGCTTGACACGTTACCCTGCTGCGCCGAGACACACAAGTGGGCGTGGTTCCGTCGATACTGCACTGCCTCCAGAGTGGCCGTGGCCCTCGATAAGAGAACATCTCTACCACGAACCTTCCTGGATGAGGTAGTGAAGCTGTTTGTTGCAGCTTCCACCTTAGAAATGAACATAAAAAGTTCTGAACATTTTGTCCTTTGCTTCAAAGGTTACCAAGAAAATCCGAGAGCTCATGGCCGATCACGAAACCATGAACGGACTTCACGAGAGCCACGACTTGTTCAAGCGCGAGCACGATGAGCAGCTGGTACAGTGGATGAACCGACGCCCAGACGACTGGACCCTCTCTGCCGGAGGGAGCGGTACCATTTATGGCTGGGGCCACAACCACAGAGGGCAGCTAGGGGGCATCGAGGGGGCAAAAGTCAAAGTCCCCACACCCACCGAAGCTCTCGCCACACTGCGACCAGTACAGCTGATTGGAGGAGAGCAGACTCTGTTTGCTGTCACTGCTGATGGAAAGGTCTCAATCAGTTTCAGACTAAATATGATCTTTGTTGCTGCATGTTTCTGTCTCACATGCTTTTTAACAGGAATAAGGATTAACAATGAAAGGGCTAAGGAAATGTGAGATGATTGATTGGTTTAAATTTGATCTCCAGCTGTACGCAACTGGTTATGGAGCAGGGGGCAGGCTGGGCATTGGTGGCACCGAGTCGGTGTCCACCCCAACTTTACTGGAGTCCATCCAGCACGTCTTTATCAAGAAGGTGGCTGTGAACTCAGGAGGGAAGCACTGCCTGGCCCTGTCCTCTGAGGGGGAGGTTTACTCCTGGGGAGAGGCTGAGGATGGAAAACTGGGACACGGGAACCGAAGGTAAAACCTTTGACAATTAGCGAATGCCTTCAAATTCTGCTTCCTGTTACAACCGGTCTGTCTCTTAACTTCAGCCCCTGTGACCGTCCTCGTGTGATCGAGTCTCTGAGGGGGGTAGAAGTGGTGGATATAGCTGCTGGAGGCGCCCACAGCGCCTGCATCACAGCCAGCGGAGAGCTCTTCACCTGGGGCAAAGGGCGCTATGGAAGACTGGGACACGGAGACAGTGAGGACCAGCTTAAACCCAAACTGGTTTGTGATCATTCTGCTCAGTTTTTATCACAACTCTCCGTATGTTAAGCTTCATGCGATTACCTTTTGGTGTGGTTTGTGCAGGTGGATGCACTGCAGGGTCACAGGGTCATTGATGTCGCCTGTGGCAGCGGAGACGCCCAGACGCTGTGTCTCACTGATGATGATATGGTCTGGTCTTGGGGAGACGGGGATTATGGAAAGCTGGGCCGGGGAGGCAGCGATGGATGTAAAGTCCCCATGAAGGTAAAAACCCAGGATAATTCAAATCTTTTTTGTTCTAGTTAAATTGGAAAGCCTTATGGTTCCGGGTGTGTTTTGTCAACTGATTATTGCCTACCATTGTGAGTTTATTTACACAGTACTAGGGCTGGGCAATACTGGCGAAAATATTATTGACGATTAATTGTAGTATTTAGCCAATAACGATTAATATGATGATTAATCCCCTGGAGTCCCTGGACATCCTAGTCACAAGACCACTTTACTGATAAAACACTCTAGTGGGAAAGATTAGCTCTCCATAAAAATCTGTTCCAAATTGTGTCAAAAGTACAGACTTCAGGCTATACATTTAAACCATGTTGATAGACCAAGTAAAACTGGAGTTATAATAAATAAATTAGAGAACTTTAAAAAAAATGTTTGTCATATTTGAAGCAGAGAGCAGCACTGAGCGGACTGACCGGGGAAATCTCCAGTCAATCTGCCTGGCGGCATTATCGTATTATCGTCAAGTACCAAAAAATAACAGATTAAAGTTTTTCTGATGATTATTTGCACACGATACGATTTTTGGCCAACCCTACACAGTACTGTGTTAAATCTGTAGAGTAGGCTTTCTCTCTGACTGTGACTCAACAGGGTCTGATAGCACTCTTGTGCCATGCCAGATTTCCAGCATAGGTAGGCCTACTAGCCAATCAGAAACTGGGTGGAGGTGGGCCTTAGGTCTTGGCAAAACTGTAATTCAGATCCAGGACAGGTGGAGGAGAGAGGATAGTGGAGTGTTTGAAGCAACTATAACTGAGTGATGACTGGTGTTGATGGAAGAGTATTGAACTGGTAGGTACTAATGCTGGTGGTTGGTCAGTCCTTGGGAACAATCTCTGCTCCCCAGCCGTTAGCAGAACTTGTGGTGGGTGGATGTAGGTAGGTTTGGTGGTGAGTAGTGATGGGAAGCCCTTTGGGAGCTGATGCCCAAAGCTCCGACAACCTGCTGCATGTTTTTACTCTTTGTACACAAGGAGGCTGCTGTAACTAGGTGAAAAAATGTTGTCATATAATGTGAAAACTGACACTGTTAGGGGTGCGGACAAAAAAAAAACTTAATGAGGACAGTTGTGACCATTAGGGTTGCCCCGATTGAATATCGATATTGATTATTGGTTCAATATTAGCCAAAAACAAGTATTGGATCATATCGGCCTGCATCTAAAATTTCCGATATACAGTGCCTTGCGAAAGTATTCGGCCCCCTTGAACTTTTCAACTTTTTGCCACATTTCAGGCTTCAAACATAAAGATTAAAATTGTAAATTTTTTGTGAAGAATCAACAAGTGGGACACAATTGTGAARTGGAATGAAATTTGTTGGATATTTTTAACCTTTTTTAACAAATAAAAAATTGAAAAGTGCGGTGAGCAATATTATTCGACCCCTTTACTTTCAGTGCAGAAAACTCACTCCAGAAGTTCAGTGAGGATCTCTGAATGATCTAATGTTGTCCTAAATGACTGATGATRATAAATAGAATCCACCTGTGTGTAATCAAATCTCTGTATAAATGCACCTGCTCTTTGATAGTCTTAGGGTTCTGTTTAAAGTGCAGAGAGCATCATGAAGACCAAGGAACACACCAGGCAGGGCTGAGCAGTGTTTCCCCCTACCATTATACAAGGGGGGCAGGCCCCCCCGCCAACAAGACAACCCGCCCCTCTAAGAATTTCACGGCATGTAGTCATTTGTATTTAAATAAGGCCAGATCCAGTCGAGAGCTATTTTTTTGCGTCCCTCCATATCCATCTCTCCCCAAACTTGGGGAAAAAAGATGGCGCAGAGTTAGACTGAGCGCTGTCTGTGATCCTCACAAAGAGAGAAAGACGTGTGTGTGTGATTAGACATGCGATGAAAACTCTGCTTTTAATCATGTAGCACCGATGTGACAGCTTTGCAAGCTACTTTTTCTTTCTTTAAAATAAAATGCGACAGGTGAAACCACAGCATGGTTACCTTATCAGTAGTTTAGAACCACCAACACAGACCGTTCCGCGTCTGACCAGATTCCCGCGAGTCCGTTCATGTTCTATAAACAGCRCTGATCAGCAGCGCAGCTGTAATATTCCTCAACTTTTAAAAAAGTAACCAGAGTCCTTTGTGAACTCAAATCCAGACAGAATATTTACAAACAACACTAAACTGATTCAGATTAACATAAAATAAATCGTGTTTCTTAATTAAATGTCTGTTTCCTGCTATAAAGAAAAATCCTCCTCCTGTCCTCCTTGTTCCTAATCAGGGTGGGGCTGGAACCTGTCCTTGCTGCCTTTAGGTGAAGGCAGGGGACACCTGGACAGGTCTCCAGTTCACCAGAGA